AATTTTCACCTGCCATTACATGACACGTTGCTGTTGTTAGGTGCCATTGAATCAGTTCCAACTCATAGTAACCCCATGTGATGGAGTAGAACTGCTCCATAGGGTTTTTTTTTAGTGTAATCTTTATGAGAGCAGATCACCAGGTCTTTCTGCTGCAAAGCCACTGGATGGCTTCAAACCACCAACCTTTCAGCTGGTAGCCGAGTACTTAACCATTGTCCCACTAGAACATAGAATGGCATATTTTCTTGACAAATGGCTTCATTACACTTCCTGTAGCTTAAAATGAGAGAATCATTTCCTTTACAAGTGTGTGTGGGGGATGGCTCCAACTACAAACTTATATGAGAATCTATGGATTTCCTATTATTTTTGTTTACAAGCTCTGGACCCAACATAAAATGTTGGTTGGAGGAAATTGGAGATCTCTGTGACCCATACATATAATCTAGTGTGGGATCTGTGATTTGAATATGCTTTTTTTCATGGAACCACACTAAGACATCCTTAGTAATTTCAAAGAATATTCTTAATCATTTCAATACCACAACAATACCATTGCCCCAACATTGCATAATTCTAGGAAAACAGAGTAAAACTGAATGGTACCCTAGACCAGTGGTACTCTAGACCAAGGATAGATTCAGCTGAGGCTAATCTTGCACAGATACCAGTGATACAAAATACCTGCAATCCTTATAGAGACAACAGAAGACAGACATAGAGTAATCCCTCACAGACAGTCAGACACTGTGGGAGAGAGATCCAATGGATCTACTGACTCAGGACCATAGTGTTGGGGGACATCAGACTCAATTGGCACAACAAAATACATAAAAATCTTGCTTCACAACCTACATTGGTAAGTACAACTGGGGTCTTAAAAAGCTTTCAAATGGCCATCTAAGATGCAGCTAATGGTCTCCTATCATCAGAAGCCAAGAAGAGTGCAAAAATCAAGGGCATTTGGAGGCAATCAGCCCTAGGACATGATTAGACCTCGAGACTAGAACTAGATAGTGCCTGGCTACCAATGCCAACCACTGGGGAAAGCATCAAAACTGGAGATCCTGGATAGCATAGGAGGAAAAACATGGAACAAAATTCAAAAACACAATAATGACCAAAATTACTGGTCGGATGGAGTCTGGTGGTACCCCTAATACTATGGTCCTGGAATATACTTCGGACCTGGAATAAAACTCACTCCCAGAGGCTGGCTCTCAACCCAATAATAAACCAGACGTACACACAGACCACTTAACCAAGGGTGATGCACCCACATACTCTGTGGAGATGCATCCCTTGACATTCACAGGGAGGAAATGCAGGACACATAGGAGTGCATAACTATGAGGGGCACAATGGGAGGGGGGGTTGTTACTGGGAAGGGAAGGAATGAGAGTGAGTTAGGGTTGGGGATGGTAATTGGGGAGTGAAACCAAATGTACATGAAATGTTGCATGTAGAACAAACTCAGCTCTATAAATTTGCACCTAAAGCACAATAAATAACTAAATACATTAAATACATAAAACTGAATGATGCCCACTGGAGTTGTGTAGTGCAACTGTCCTGAATATTGGTAGGGCAGATAGGTGGTGGGCAAAATCTGTTTGGAAAGGTTTCATATTATTTCTGGTTTAAAAAGATTGGTAATTGAACATGTTAAAATAAGATTGTTAGAGAGTAGGTATGAATTATTCGAGGTGGGAAGGTATGGGAGAGGGTGAAACTACTTTAGTTTTAACCTTTTTAAAGTACTTTCTTTTAAAAAAAGAAAAAATTTCTTGATCACTGAAAGCAGAATTTGATTAGAAATCTGAAATATTTACTTCCATTATCAGATAAATAACAAGACCACAAGAGTACTCTCTGATTAGGATGGCAAAGGCAGACAGACCTGTGTCTTTAAATAAGGTCAGTGGCAGAACACAGTCTGATGAATAGATTTTAAGTTCAGTTTTATTAGATGAAGATCTTGGGGGGCATAAACTAGTGCCTAAAGCATTTCACTGCTAACTAGAAGGGTGGTGGTTCAAACCCACCAGCCACTCCTTGGAAGGAAGAGGGTCAATCTGCTTCCATAGATATACCACCTTGGAAACCCAAGGAGGGGTTGCTATGAGTCAGAAACCACTGGATGGCAGTGAGTTTGGTTTTTTTTTATTACTAACCAGAAGGTCAGTGGTTCAACCCCACCTCTAGCTGCTCTGCAGGAGGAAGATGAAGCAATCTACTTCCGAAATTGGAAACCCATTAGGTACTGCTATGAGTCAGAGTTGACTTGATGACAGTGGGTTTGGGAGCTCTGGTAGCATAGTGCCTAAGGCACTTGACTGCTAACCAGAAGGCAGGAGGTTCAAACCCACCAGCCACTCCTTGGAAGAAAGGTTGGGCAATCTACTTCCATAGTGATACTGCCTTGGAAACCCAAGGAGGGGTCGCTATGAGT